TTAAACACTGCTGGAGAAATCCTAACCCCACCGAAGTCAACAGCAAAACTTCCATGGGCTTCAGTGTAGCCAAAATTTCACCCTGAGTACCTAGTAATGAATCTTTGTTGTCTGGCCCTCCACTTGACTTGCAGGATTGCTCCACACATTACATTTTCCAATGTTTTGTTCAGTTGTGCTGTAAGTACTTCAAGACACAAGGTTTTCTCTCTGTCCCCTGGAAATAGTTGCACAGGCTAATAGCTTAAGGAAGTTTTTGCTTGAAGAGTTGAGTAACAGAGCCAAAGTCTGTTCTTGGTTGAACTGGAGTAAATATGGAATAGCTTGTTGACAATGCAGTTACTCCTCTTTTATGTCAGTATAACCAAGAGCACAATCTTGCCAATTATTAACTTTTGTTACATTATTTGTATTTCTGTGCATGTCAGAATTTGTTAATCTCATTGTTAAATATCAGGTAACCTTTTGCTGAAAACACAACATCATTGTGAATTAGGTATCATCAGCTAAATTGAACCTCACCCTGTGCATTTGACAGATGGTAATACATTCATTAAGTGTTCTGTGGTTGCTTTGAGGTTGGAAAGTGCTATTTTTCTGGCTTCTAACTCGGGATTCTTAAGTAAAGTTGTTTAAAAGCATAGTTTTAAAGGAAGAAGGAAAATCACAAAGAGCTTATGAGGTTTTTTTATTAATATCCATGTTTACTATTGGTGGGATGACAGGGCAGGACTGTGATTGCTTTAAGTTGTCTTTGGCTGTGTAAGTAGCCCAGAGTGAAGTAGTGAAGGCTGAGAGAGATGGTTTCACGGTGGATTTTGTATATACAAGGGTAGAACTTCTTGGAATTTGAAGTTATGTCAAATATATCCCTGTGAAGGCAACACGATGCTGGTGCCTTTGTGCTTGGTGATTTCACTGTCCAGAAAGATGGTTTCCAGAAGTTCAGACATCTCAACTACATCATGGATAAGCTGATGACAGGGCTTCTCTCACATACCTGGTCACATTTGGGATCTCTAAACTCATTCTGAAAGTCTGTAGGGTGAGGAAGCATTTGGAGGTAGAAATTTCAAAAGCAGCACTTCAGGAAAAGTTCTCCCCACAGCTGGTTTAGGGGACACCCAAGTGTAGAAGCGAAGACTCCACAGAACACAGAGGAACATCAGGTTGTTTAATTCAAGCCTACTCTTTTAACTTACTCATTTCAGGGAAGATTGATCCTATTCATTGGCTGTTATCAGCAAACCTGTTTAGTTATTTAATGATGTTTCCCACAGGATAAGTTGCCAAGGGAATTAGGTGCTTAGCCACTTCTGAAATTCACTGTGGGTGGTACTTTCACAAATGGGGAATTAGTAAATTTTTACTAGTCCTATCTTTCAAAATGTCTTCACCCAGTCTAGTGCTATGACTGGTGTTCACATGACCCCTGCCCTGGTGAGTGCGTGCTCTTCCCTGTGTTCTCAGTGGAGACAATGTATAGAGTCATCCAGATTTACACAAACTATCCATAGCATGGGAGGTTTGGAATGAAATCTTTCTTTTGCTGAGTTTGCTCAGTAATATGAACCCAGACAGCTCTTTCCTCAGCAAGAGACACAAAACATTCAGAGCTGTAGGATGTTCTGAAGAGGTTATTTCTTGGTCTCTGTCAACATTTATTCCCTTTTCACCTAATGCTTAAATATTGACCACGTAAGAAAGAAAATGAGATTCTTTTATGCATTCTCCTACTTTAAGTGGGGATTGCCCTGAGCACCTTCTCAAGGAACATAAACCTTCAAATCATATAGATAAATCTGAATGTCTCAGGGCACCTAGAAAGTAGGATTTGCAATATGGATATTTGCATATGAATTTCAAAAAATGCCTTGAAAGCTACCAACAGGCTTTAAAAATCTGATTCTGTGCATGTATACTCCCTTAGAAATGGCAATTTTAGAGCCTTAATTCTCTTAGTTTTTCAGGATTCTGTCACTATTCACTTAGAAGAAATGCTGTTCTCCCTTGTTCACTGCTCTTCTACTTTCCTGGCTGTTCTGAGAGATTTACTAGGATCAGAAGAATTTTGAGAAATTCAGTGGAGTCAGTGGTGTCACAAGAAGTGGTCCAGTTCTTGATTATCAGGATATGGGATAGTCCTGACCATGCAGTGGTTTCACTGTGAAATGTCAGGATCCTGTGGGTTGATTTCAGTGTGAGATGTCAGGATCCTGTGGGCAGAGTCTGTAAATTAGGTCCCAGACATGCTGAACCCTGAACCTATGTTTATTTCTGGCCTCCAATATGCAAGTGCCAAGTATGAATTCAGATAGATTTTTTTCCCACTGTCACAAACAGGCTTCTCTCCAGGCATTGTTTTTGGGTCAGCCATGATGCACTTTGATATAGCAACAAGAGCAAAAAACACCCCAAACCCTAATAAGTTCCAGAAAATTCACATAAACACACCTAACCTGCTGCTTCTGTCTCTGTACACACACTTGACCGACCCCATGGGCTAGCACAAAGCATCTAATGTCGTACTGATACTGGAATATTGCATGGATGACTTGGAGAACCAGCGATCCTACTGAATGAAGGAAATACTGGAAAATGCTCAGCATTAAGCCAATTCTCTAAAATCTGGATGAGCAAAATCAAATTAAATTGCAGTAATTTGAGTCCATTGTCTCTGCATGAATGCACTGTAAAAACACATAGTCTGAGGCTGACCAAGAGAAGGAGAACTATCTATTCAACAGGTGTAATAGGTCAAACCCAAAAGAGATTGCTGAATCTTTTGAGTGTTGCCACATGGGGGTATATGACATGCTATGCAGTTACTACCCTTCTGTAGCAGTTCTGTGATGCAGTACAGCTGCAGGCAATTAAAGGCACCACTGCCAGCATCTGACAGCAAAATGTCAGTGTCAAAATTCAATTTCAATTGATTAAATGAGGGATGGCAACACTTTTGTTTTATTGATGGCAGCACTTTAGTCACTTTAGATGCCCTGCTTTCAGAAATAAATTTTTTCCCTCCCTGCTATGTTTGTTGGGGTGTTTTCAGTTGGATCACAGTCATTTCTCCAGTCAATCAATTAAGCCAGGGTTTGTCACTGTGTCTCAGAGTCAGCCACAAAGGAGCTGGTACAGTTCCCTGGTGGTGGGCCAAGAGGCTTCAGTGGGAGCAAGGCATCAAGCGGCTTAATCTGACTTCCACTGCTGGCACAGGTTTAATGGATGTTAGAGCAGCAGAGAAATCATATTCTGTGCTGTTCAGCCCCTGCTCCCTCAGTGGCCCTCGACATGCTGCCTTTCTCTCCACATCAAAAGCACAGGAATGGCTGACAGCAGAGCCTGTGGAGCTACCTGTGCCAGCAGACCTCTCTATGAAGGGCAATTGCTACAGCCCTTTTGAAGCTTCTGTTGCACTCCATTAATATACTTAGAAGCATAGAATCATAGAATGTTTTGGGTTGGAAAGGACCTTAAAGCTCATCTCTTTCCAACTGCCTGCTATGGGCAGGGACACCTTCCACCAGTCCAGGTCGCTACAAGCCCCATCAACCTGGCCTTGAACACTTCCAGGGATGGGACATCCACAGCTTCTCTGGTCAACCTGTGCCAGTGCCTCACAGTCAAGAATTTATTTTGTATATGTAACTTAAATTTCCAGTCTTTTGGTTTGAACCCATTATTCCTTGTACTTTACTTCCTTAGGCCTTGTAGTGCTATACCACCTGAGTAACTTAACATATTGAGTAGTCTCCCCTAAGTTCAGTGGCAGTAAGTTACTCAGAGATATAAGATTTTACAGGATTAGGCTGTTAATGTTGACTCCAGGCCAGATCTGCAGCAGGTATAAATCACTCCAGGTAATTTTCTCTGGCCGAAATTCTGGCCCTAAGCCCTTAAGTCATGTTGTTATTTTTTCACATTGTAAATTTTTGCTGTTTCTTATTTATATTGCTTTAGCACTTTGGGGCACTTGTCTGGGACCAGGACTCCATCATGCTTGTCATCCTTCAAACAATTGCAAAAGGCCCTGCTTGCCCCAGAGCATTTGCAGTTTAAGCAACACACAAACCTGTGTAGAGTCATTACAGTAATTCACCTTTCTGTAAGTGCCTCATTGCACTCAAGTTTTTCTATTATCCTGCCAGTAGAGCGTAAGAACACAAATTCTCTGCCTGGGATGATATTTTTAAGTAAAAAAATTTGCACTCTAATGTATATTTTGTCTAAGTGACTTTTAAAGGCTGGAATTTGTTGAGCCAGCAGCAGTGTGGGACGTGATCTTTAGTAACTGAAGTGGACAGTCCAAAGTCTCATCTGCATTGAGACACCCTATTTGAGATATGTCAAAAAGAGAGTTTGCACCTAAGTTTAACCTGAGGTAAAGGGCATTCTGTAACACTGACTGAATATCATACCTAAGTTGCAGTATATCTCCCAGCTCCATAGAGCTCTGGTTAGTATCTTTGGAATTACTGCTATTGCCTTTAATTACTCTGAAAGCAGTTTGAAAGAAGTAAAACTATGACTTCTTAGAGCTGAAGTAAAAGTAGAAAATTCTGCTTCATGCAGTCCTACCTGGCTGCTTAGAAAAATAAAGTAGCAGCATACAGAGCTCCAGTTTTCTGTGTGATTGCCTCAACAGACCAGAAGAATATCATAGGGTGTATGTGTTTTATTGGTATTTCATACTGACGAGCTGTTCTTTTCTACCGTGATCTCTTTCACTGTTGATTTTTTTTGGGTGCTAGTTAGGAGAAGACATGGCACAAGAGGTTCCTGTGTCCCCTTTTTCTCTTGCAAGATGAGCTTTGCCCTCAGACAGACATTGCTGAGCTACCTTTTCATTGAATTTTGTACATTTTGGAGCACAAAATGACAACAAATAAATGGTTCTTGGCTTTTTTTCTAGATACTTCCATAGCCATTGACAATGAGTGTTTGCAAACAATTCTTACTCTGCCCTAATTACTTATTCACTGCTTTTTTTTGCAAAGCTCTTGAAAGAGGATTGGTGAAGGCTCTGAAGAAGTTGGATGACTACCTGAGAACCCCTCTGCCAGAGGAGATCAATGCAGGCAGCACTGAAGAGGAGAAAGTATCTAAACGCAAGTTTCTGGATGGAGAGGACCTGACTCTTGCTGACTGCAACCTTCTGCCCAAACTCCATGTTGTCAAGGTAAAAGATGTCATGTGTTGCTCGTAGAAGCATTATCTGACAATGCTTCACCCTGCTCTGACAGCTGAGTGCTAAAGCTAATGTGTATTTCAGCAGAGAGATCTGAAGTCCTAGAAGAGCAGTTTGAAACACCCTTTTATGTGTCCGGTCACTACTTAGTGACAAAACCAACATTAAGCTCTAGATATCTCTTTATTTTTAACCTGCTGGAAGTAACAGCAGGCTTTCATATTAATTAGTTCCTAATATTCTAAAGAGACATGTCAAAACTTCAGGTAGTTCCCACCCATTTGTAACTTAAGAGCAGCAGTCCATCTTTTGGGAGAATATTTATTCCATCTGGTATTTCACACAGAGAAGTTACCAAATCAAAGTCACTGCTGAGGTCCAGGATTTAAGATGTACTATGGTCGCTGGTATAGTGCAAATGGTGTGCATCATCTTGACTTCTAAATGTTGCATTTATTTAATTTATCAGATGACATGTTGCTTTAGAATAAAGCAAGTACCTGGCAAACCTTGGCAAGGAAGTGAGCTAGGAATTAAAGCCAATTCATGCATCTAATTTGGTTCCATGAGCCAAAACATAAACTGAGCCTGGGAGCTGACTGCGCACATGCAAAAAAGAAAAACAAAAAGAGAGTTAAAAAAAGTGCATAAGTCACCAAGTAAGAAATGTGATAATATCCTCACAGGTTCAGCACTTTCTTTGGCTTTTCTGCATTGGTCACGTTGGAGTGAGACAATGTAAAATGAATGTGTGGCCCCTTACTGCTTCTTGTCTCCTTGGGATGAAATGAAAGATGTCAAAAGAGAATTAAAATCTTTCCTGGACAAGCATAGCCATAAGATATTGTCTGAAAAACATTCTACCGATAGAAGAAAAGGGTAAATTATTCTTTCCATTTGGTGGAAGATGTGTGCTAAAAATTGTGAAAATCTTGACTTAAGTTGCCCAGCAGGTTTTATCTTCACCATATGTGTGTGAAGGATCATTGAAGGCAAGAATGCTTAATTAAATGCAGTTTAGGACAGGATTTGGACTTGCTCATACCAAGTGGATCCTGGTAATAAAAACAAATCACAGTAATTTCTGAGGACATGACTGTCCTAAGAAATCTGAGATGGAAAGCAGCTCTACCAAGTACTTTAAAAATCAAGGGGAACTTTGTGGCACATGTGTGTGTAATTTATGCCCAGGATCAATTTTATACTGTCAGAAAAATTAGAGATTGGAAGCACTCATTAAATTAGCTAATCCATCCCTTCCTATCAGCTAGTTCACTCTGTCACCAGAGGCTTATTCTGTATGGTATATTCTTACAGGAAAACCAAAATATTCCAATACAGCAAGGTACTAAACCAACCAACTGTCTTTATGCACAGATTAATCTCATTGACTTCAGTGGCTCTGTGCAGGTGCTTAAAATTAAGTATGCACTTAACTATTTTCCTGAATAAGGGCCTGACTGTTTTTAGAAATCAAAAATTTCCCTTGATAGACAATTTCCTAGTCTAACAAGTCTTGAAATAACCATTTTGTCCCCCAGTTTATCCTAATACTCCTGTTTCTAATATCTGCTAAATCATCTTGGTTTCTTAATCGTGGTATCCATACCACCCTGAATTTTTCCTTTGAATGAACACAGATACAGCCTTCCAACAGCTGTAGGTGGTTACATCCTCTGACACCACTGGCCAGGCAAAAATATATCATATACATTAAAAATAGATACATTATAT